GGTTGAGACCATGTTCCATTGAGCTGCAGATCTTCGCTAACAAACCGCTTTAGGCATTCAAAATCGCCAGCCCATGCAAAGCATAACTTGTCTCTTAATTTTGTCGCCATAAGTAGGTCATTTGGTCATAAAACCAGTGCAAAGAATCCTCAAATATCACTTAACACACCGAGATCTTTGTCGATTGCCGCCACCAAAACTGTAGACTGTAGTATTATTAAAGCCGAGCATTCAACTCAATTAAGTTTCTTCGAAAAATAACTCTAGAAAAAATACTTGTATTGCCAAACAATTCGCCGTACCACCACCTGTTTCACAAAGTTTACATATGCCATTTGTTGAACAGTCACAAGTTCTTGCACATCTACTGTTTGCAGCACAGTGTATTACCTAGTAAAAACATTGTTTTTGAAAGCTGTAAAACAACTTCGCTGCTTCCTTTTCTGTTTTCGTGTTATGTTTTATAGGATAAACACATTTGATTCAAAGTTCATTTGATTGGCTGGGATTTTGTTCTCAAATTTAATTATTCAAGCACTGCCTAAAATTCCAAAATTGATTTATTTAAATGGCTTTGCCGCTTCAGATCAAGTATATTTTTTCTTGAAACCTTCAAAATGCTTAAATCCATGTTTGAAATGTTCAATTTCAGTTGCCTATTACGACCTTATTACTTGATAAACAATATTTCTCCCATCTATCCCATTCTATCCCTAGTTTTGACACTTACTTTCCATGCAGCCAATCAAAAACGTTCTTATTTTTTAAAATTTTATTTATTTTTAAAACTAATTTAACCCTGGGTTAAATGTCTTAACCCTGGGTTAACTAATCGCACCTCTAACCCAGCATTGAACAACGCAGTTTTCACTCAAGGTTAACGATTTTAACCAGCTTTTGAACAACCGACCCCTGGAATACAAAGACACAGTGATTGCGTATAAGTGTCTAAATAAGCTTGCGCCACCATACCTTTGTGATACGTTTGTCAAGAGGTCGGAGTTACATAGCCGCCAAACTCGCAACAATAACCAGCTAGATATCCCGCTATTCCATACTGCCTCAGGACAAAGAACGTTTTACTATAGAGCAGTCAAAGATGGAACAGCCTGGAGAATGAGCTCAGGGAAATTTAGTCACTCAGACTTTTTAAAAGAAAGCTTAAAACTTGTTTGCTGGACAATCTTCTAGTAAAGGAACATGATTAATTTCAACACTCCGAACGACATTTATATACTATAGTCGTGTATATTTTAGTCTAAACATTTTAGATCAATTTTAATAATTAGCATATACAATTTTTTATATTATTCCAAAAAAGATGTAATTGTGTTTTGAAAAGACCCTCGGGGAATAACCCAATAAAATGTATGTATGTATGTAATCATGATAGAAACACGCGTATCTTGATCCCCAGACACGCGTGTCTGGAGGTCAGATTTGGCTTCAAGAAAAAGATATCGGCAATATAATTTATCAGATATTCATTTAAATTATTCATGCTCACGTTTTTGGAATAACATTAATTTTATATTTGCTGAAATTATCAGCTGTTAAAGGATTCTAGAGTATAGTAACTACAGCACAAATCATCTTACATTGAACGAAATTTAATTCAGCAATATCTACCGTAATGTCTTGTTTGTTGGAAACCAAGTTTCATAGAACTATCTCGTTTTCAGCTCTTGGTTGCATGTAAATACAAGAAAACTCTGCTTGCTCATGAAAGAGAAGCTCACGCAAAATTCATGGAAGTGATCACCCGACATCGCAATCATCTTCCACAAGTGATCATACATTGTTTTACTGGAAACAAGGAAGAAATTAAAGCTTACGTTGATATGGGATTTTATATTGGAATCACCGGCTTTATTTGTAAAGGTAAAACAACCAACGGTCTGTGCCAGTGTAGGTAGCGACGATACAAAACAGCTGCGGTTTGAGAGAGATACAACTATACCTGACATACAAGCATGACTTCAAGTTCTACTTATATTTTTCAGGTCGTTGTATCTCTCTCATTCTGCAGCTGTTCCGTAAAACAAAATTGTTGTTCGCAATGAGGATGAACTGCAGTAGCATGTAAAAAGATTGTCCATGCTGACGTCTCTTTAGTCTTCCTAAACTTCTGCATAAGATTTGCATGAAGTTTCCGCAGGCAGGGAAGTAAGTGCGCAGGCAGCGAAACTTATTTTTATTTTGTCAATTTAAAGCGAACAATTGACAGGATTTAATCCGATCAGCCCATCACTTTTAAGTTTCACAATCACATGGTCGTAAAGATTGGTTTTATTAGTGACTGTTTATCCTTCCACATGCTACCTACAGTAAAATGTTACGTTTCGCAGAAAAAAACGACTGAACAAGCAGCTATTACATGTACTGTATGTGTAAATCCATTCCGATAAACGAGTAACATTTCTTATCCGATCAGGCAACTTGTATATTATATAGTGCTAGCATTCGGACATAAAAATCAAGAGAATACGATACTTTCAATTGGTGTGCACGCACTACTTTCAAGCATAGTCAATAGAAGAAGGTTATAGGAAACTCGATGCAGACATAATAGACCTCATTACGTTTTTTGTCTTGGTTTTTGCCAGAAATGCATGGTCGGTTCATAGTCACGTGTGTATTGTATTTTCACTAGAGCAACCAATAGCTATGTTTTCATTTAACCATTGTGTAATATCACGATTGGGTAATCAAACCAACACACTGCTAATGGTTGGTTGGGTGAAAAAACAACACACACGTGACGATGAACCAGTGAACTCTAATAAGACTGGAACGTAACTCAGGTAAACATGCCCATACTTGCCTGAAGCCAACCGAGCAAGGAAATTGCACTTTTAAAAGGACTAAGGAGAGTTTCGAGGAGTGGGAATTCAGTCAAAGTTTTATATTTTCGACGAAAATGAGCAAGAAAAGTCGCTTTTCATCAAAAAGCTTCAATATTAAAAACCCAAATGCGATTTATTTGATAGTTAGAACTGCTTTGCATTAGGCAACAGCAAAAGTTTGAAGGGTATCAGGTTTGTTTTCATAAAAACGACACTAGTTGAACGTGCCGAAGTGAACTTTGCTCTTTAACTAAAAAAAAACAACTTTGAAACATAGGGCTACGGACCAATACCTTTTTTGTATTAAGGTCTAGGCATAGTTGTTTATTTTGTGTGCTTTTTGACTTGTCTAAAACGTGAATAAATCGATTTTTCCGTAGAAATCCCCCTTGATTTGTGATTTGTGATTTGGCGCCCGGGAGAAGTTCGCGCGCTGTGACTTTCAAAAAAGAACTGGGGAGAGTTCAATTTCCTCATAATTTTGGGGTTTTTTAGCAAAAATACGCCGAAAAATTAGGTTTTTCGTACGAAGATTTCAATTTCAAAGATTCAAACTTGGTTTTCTGGATAGTTCTAAGTATTCTACATCCACTAACAGCAAAATCTCGAAAGGAACCATTTTTGTATTCAAGAAAATAACAAAATATTTTCCGTGCCGAACAAAATACGACTTTCAGGTACACAAAAAATAAGGTTAAGTCTTTTCCACGGCTTCCAAACATGGCTTGTGCAATAGTCCAAGTATCGTAGATGTTTTTAAGCTTTTTATCTATGTTCTAGCATAGCTAGAAAGGCAGAAATCCGAGTTTTTCGAAGAGGTGTATTTTCGCCGCCGTACCTCCAATGGCGGCCTCCAATTTGGCTTCAAAGATGGCGGCCGAGTTATCGTTCCAGTCTTATTAGAGTTCACTGCGATGAACCGACCATATTTTGCATAAGACAAACAACATCGTGACGATGAACCGACCATTTTTTGCACAAGACGAAAGCATGGATAATGAGGTCTGTTATGTCTGCATCGTGTTTCCTTCTATTGACTATGTTTCAATTACATTAATGGTTGCATTAACGATGCCGCTCAAAATGTCAAAATGTTTCAAAGATGACGAAAACTTTCACAGGTCGGTAGTTAAGACATGAGACATCCGCAGGAATATTTATCCAGTTCCTGCGAAAGGGGCCTAAAACGATGAATATTTTTTGTTCAGAACCTCGCAGTCGTCAAATTCGTGAAGCAATCAAAGATGGTACTCTACCACTTGACAAAATTATCATTGAAACAGACGCTCCATATATGGTTCCCAGTCTCCCACTCTCACAACTGGATGAAACAAGCCGCATGTTGTTAATGAGATGCAGGGAGGGACGGAATGAGCCGTGCACTCTGCCTGTTATTGCCAAAACTATCGCGAAATGTATGGGACGTGAGGCCAAGGAGGTTGCTCGTGTTACAACTGCTAATGCTGCTAGAGTGTTTGGTTTGTCAGCACCGCCAGTATAAATACTGTTAACAATTCGATGAATAAATTACGTTGGATGTTCAAGTTATTTACTGTAGTATCCTTACGTTTTGTAATAACATTGGAAATATGGATATGAACAATGGACAGCAATCAACTCAAATATTTGTGTTTATTTTTGTATTGTACGTATTTCAGTAGATATATTGCGGCAGTTGGGTGAATGTATAGATGAATATACGACAGTGTAATTCGCCGCTTATACCTTAGCTTGTGATGTGTTAAATGTTTTACGATACACTTTGTTGTAAACGCTAGTGAACGAGGGAAGACATTGTTGACTGACAAATGTTTTCCGCTCAGTAAATTTGAAAATTGTGGAGATTATAAATTATAACGTATATCAACTATCCTGGCTTTCAGCACTTACTTGGGAGGATATATGTTACTCGACTAACATTGAACTTCCTGTTCTGTAGTTAAATTATAGTAACATTCGCTTGCCACTGACTATAGTTAAAGAGGTTGTCAAGTCCGTTCTGCTCATGCGCGTGTTTTGCTTACATTTTTTGTTTCAAACAATTAGCCATTCCGAAGTTGATAAGAGGACTGGGGACGAATGCTAAAAAGTGCTCAAATTAAGAAATGAACCAAATAACTAAAAGACCACCTCAAAATTAGTTAGTATTCAAAGTTTGAAGACGTTTACATGAATACCCTTCGAATAATAAGCTTTCGAAAATTGTGAAATTATTGATTAAAGGATTGTTTTTAGGGCGCGCGTCCCAAAAACAAAAATTACAATACATTTCATAGTAAATACCGCGATTTTCGAAAGCTTATTATTCAAAGGATATTCATGTAAACGTTTTCAAACTCTGTGTACTTACTATTTTTGAGGTGGCCTTTTTAGTGCAAAGTTGCTTTGCACTATTGTTATGAGGTTAAATTCAATTCAGTGACCGATCTATAGAGTAAACAATCCGGGGGGAGCTTGCAAATTATTTTTATTACGTTTTCTACTAAGAGCTTCGCGATGTTCGCATTGTTCGGCCAACTAATCGTTCATAGCTGTTTGTAGATTATAACAATCTATATTTATATTCCTGATGGTACATGTTCTTACTTATTTATCTGACATTTAGAGAAGTTATAACAGTTAGGCTATAACCAAATTACTGTTGCATTTCAAGCACTTGTTCAGTATATGATATGCCCCCTGTAACATAAATACACGTGCATAATACACGTGCTTTCATATGTTATTATTTTACAATGGCGGACATGGACGAGCGGTGACTATTGAGCGACGGTGTGAAATCGTGTAGACTATAGAGTGCATTACATCTGAGGTTGATAGTATTATAGCACAGTGGTTTAATATCTACGAAAGATACGGAGCGATGTATGCATGAATAAGTGCCAATGAATAGTTTTGATATAAAATTATAAGTCAGCAGCTGATTTCTATCAGCTAGCTTATTCTTGTATTATTATATCACGATATAACCCGCGGAAAGAGGGACCGCTCGCAGTCTATATCAGTTAGCTTATTCTTGTATTATTATATCGCGATAGA